GTGTACAGAAAATGGAAGGATGGATAGATTTCTACCAAAGATTTAGAATGCGTTTTTGAACCAGATGCTTCAAAGCGCCCTGTCCATAATTCTTCAACACACTGTCAGCTCCCTCTGTCAGTCAACCTATATAAATTCATTTTTGACCATTATTGCAAGTTTGACAAAATAAAACATATCAAACTTTGCACTGGTGTGGCCTACTGAATTGTTTTGATTTTCTAGTGCATATGCGGACACTAAATATGCCAAGGGCTGAAGCCCTTGAAAGACATCTCCCTTTGCTTAATAAAAGACTCCAGTCATTTTGTTTGGTGATATGCTCACATCTTATGAACAAATGCATTATGTACATTTTAAATGCATTATTTTTGCAAAAACATTTATAAAGGAATAAAGTAAAAGATTAAATAGCCTTTTTTTAAGTAGCGTACTTAAGATATGTTTCTGTTGAATATTTACGAATCTCAGATTTCCGACATGTGTCCCCCCCAATTGTAAACATATTCCTACGCCCTTGCCCACTTGTTTCAAATATTTGAGCTGTCTGCTCAGCATGCTATCAAGTTTTGCAGGGAGTTCTATTCATGATTAAATTTCTCTATTTTAGATATGCCCATGCATGCCGAAAAAAATGCACAACATCAGCCTCCGAGATCCAAATTGAGGCTTAATACTGTATAGCACCCTACGAAGAATTTTGTTTCAAAATTATCCAATGTTAATAATTCAATGTTCAATAATTGCTTTGTTTTTAACAATCATCTAATCAGGGGGTTACAAAAACATTTTCTGATTTTGTTTGTAAAACAGTAATATATTTCCTTTGAGTTCAAGCGCTCTATGCACTTGTGTACAAAATCAACATAAGAACAATCAACAAATACAAATTTAGCATCAAAAGAAGTTTTTATCCGTCATTCCTTTGCTGTGAAATAAAATGCCTCAAGGCTATTAGCTGTTATTTCTTGATTTTTTATTTTTTTTTAAATGACATTCTCAAACAGTTTAAGAGTCCCACTCTGTACCGGTCCCCTTATGGCAGGGGTTTTCAAACCTTTTGAGTCATCTACGCTGATTAGTTTGTCAAAAATCTATCAACCCACCTTGGGTATATACAGTATCACCCAATTCAAAGGGCATTGTTAATACGTTGCCATTAGGAAGCCACTTTAGCAGGATCTTAGCAGAATCTCTCATACACAGATCAGAATCTCGTACAAAATGCTGCATTGGTAAAATGGATTTTGAACAATAAATGAAGCAGTAAACCAATCTCTATTTGAAATTAATAAATTTAATATAAATGTAATGAGCCTTTCTTTTATAGTGTTTTGGTAGCAAATATATAAGTTTGAGCGTTGTCATTTCAGACTGTCTGCGAGCGCTTTCTGCAGCCGCCGCTCCTGCTGACAGCAGAAAGGAGAGAGAGAAGCCTCGTTACAGTTACTCGTTACTCGTTACAGTTGACAGTAACAAGTTTTGACTGATAAATAGCCTGTTTAAGACCAACCGCTTGCAATCCTTCTGATGTCCAGTTAGAAGCTACATAAATTTTTGTGCCTATATTTTGCCAAAATGAACCCAGTTGGGGTTCGTGAGATGATGACCCCAAAGTTCAGAATGTCTGCCTTTTGTTACATCCTTCATGTAGCCCAGCTTGCTTCCGCGAGGAGAAACCCAGATGCTTGCTGAAAAACCCCAAACCCAGGCCTGGCTGCATGGTGAGGTCCCTGCTCTGCTGTACAGGGCGATGTCATATGCCTCAAGTTCTTGATCATCATTAAGGCCTCTTGAACCAACCTTTGGCCTTTTATCCAGAGCCTGTCTGCCTTTAGAGATCCTGGTAGTGGCATGTTGAATTGGCAATTTGAAGGGCCATGGTTCCCACCTGAAAAAAGATGGGTTGCCTCCTTCAGGTTGGAAGAGAGTTCCTACCTCTTTAGAGTTCCTGCCTCAAGAGTTCAAATATTATGTTCTTGTGCGACGGGAGAATCGAGCGGATGATTTACTGATGGACGGCTGCTGCTCTAATGTGGACACTGCCTAGTCTGTTGTGGTGAAGTGAGGACTGAAATAAAAGGCAAAGCTCTTGATTTATCAGTCAGTATAGGTTTCAGCCATCACCTATGTTCATGTTATCTGGTGGCTTGGGATGGTCTAAGTGTCAGGGTTAGGAGCTTGGTCATCCAGGGGAGGCTTGGAGTAGAGCTGCTTCCCTCCATATTGAGAGGAGTCAGCGTAAGTGGATTAGACATCTGTTCCGGGTGTCCTCTGGACACCTTCCTGTTCCAGGAACGTCCCACCAGGAGGAGACCATGGGGAGAACCCAGGACACACTGGGGGAACTGTGTCTCTTTGTTGGTGCTTGAGCCTAAGGCTTCCCCCAGCAGAGCTGGAAGATGTGTCTGGGGAGAGGGAAGTCTGGGAGTGTCCGCTGAGACTGCTGCCCCCACAACCTGGTCCTGGATAAATGGAAGATGACGAGTATCCTCAAACAATGAGTTTAGAAATGTCTGAGTCCAGCTGAAGAATGTATTTCACCAACACAAGAACTCTCTCTGAACTACTAAGATGTTAAAACAAACGTAAAACACATGCTAATATCATTCAGAACATACGGCAAATCCATGAATTAAGTTTTAAACAGTGGGCAGTTGTGCATTGAGAGGTACTTTTTTCACTAGCTTTTTAACAGAGAAATTCAAACCCATCATCTGAAAGATCCTTTCTTCCTTTTGCAAGTTCCACTGATAAAGCCTGATTTTAATGTGAAAATATTTGTCATACTCTAAATGCATACTGAATTTTATTTTTCAAATTCAAAAAGCTACTGAATGGAGTGGAGAAGGGAAACGTATAAGATGAAGCTTTTAAGAAAACTTTCACATTTTAACAAAATAATCAGGTGTGAACCAAAAATGTATCTCTGTAAGGTTCACATAAAAAATCTATTTTGACCATTCCTGTTTCAGTGCTATGAATACACAATTTAAAAATAGCTCTTCGTCATTAATTATTTGAAGAAATTATATTTCAACCAAGACATCTGATAGTCGTTTGGCATCTTTAAATAATTAATACAGTATATCACAAAACCCCCCAAAACATTCTCCCCTTTAATCCAGGCTGGCTGTTCATGTTAGAATGTAATGACTTACATAATAATATATAGAAAAGGGATTTAATCATCCTATCAGAATGGATATATTTTCAATATTTCTGAATACGTTTATGATTTACTACTGTTTTAGATGTAGTTTATTTGGAGAAGTTCCATTTCTAGTAACATTCATTACCTTCTTTAATTAATAAAATTATTTAATTGCCCTTCAGGATTAAAAAAGTATTTTTGAGTTGAGTTGAAGTCTTTGTTTTGCGATTATACCCTTGCATAACAAAGCTTTTCCCTTACGGATATGATTTATTACACCTCGTCATCTTTTTGGTTTGATTTCAGAATTTGAAGAAATTTGCCAGTTTGTGTGGTTGTTTCTGAAAAAATAACCCTCTCTGTGTGTGTTTTTGAATAAAAGTGCATTTGACGGCGTATGTTACAGACAATAAAAGATAGCCAGGGGCAGAAAATATCAAGAGTTCATTAGGGTCCTCGCTGAGGAAAATAAAATAGACGCCTTTATCCAGCCTTGTGTTGAGCAGGCAATAAAACACACATCAGGCCCACCTGATTGGTAAATCATCCGAGGAAGCTCTTCACGGCATTATCTGCAATATTATTCAGGACACACAAAGAGCTGTCATTCAGACACACACACTTACACATAGACACAAGCTCCATGCTCTTCCCACTCATGTGTACATTGGCTGCAAGAGCTGTCTTTGTATCCCATCACCATAACAACTGCCTGAAAGCACATGTGAAAAAAAGCGAAAGCCAAAGTGAATTTCTCTCACTCAGTTTGACTCAGAGACATCGAGTGTAGTGGTCGCTGGATCTGTACAGCATGTCAGTGTGATGTGTGTGAACAAGAAGCTGGCTTGTACAGGCAAGTGGGATATAGATGATGGTGTGGACGGAAGAGGCTGGTGTGTAAGATTTGGGAAGTGTTAAAGGGGATAACACTGAAACTGGATCAGGCAGTTTATGATGGTGAGTGTCAGAAGGATGCTTCTTTATGTTTTCTGTATTCATTGTGCATGTAGCTGTTTGGAAGAGTTAGGTGTGGCATGTAACATGTCTCCAGTAAGTTGTAACAACAGTACTTTGTGGATGGCAATATTACCTGACAATAAAAGCGGGAAAATGTTGAAAGAGTGCAACACACAAAGTTTTTTGGTAATCCTCATTAGAAAAATACTACTACTTATATCAAAGACAATAGTTTATACTTTTATTTAAGATTTAATTTAGATTTTTCATGTATTTCACAACAATATTGATTTTTTTTCATTTTCCTGTTTTCAGCTCTCAGATAGTACCACTACTCAGGCATTTCCCTTGGTTTTACTTTATTTAAATAGTCTACATATTTACTTTCTTTCATTATGAGAATGCATATTTCCAATTATAAGAAAATAAATTCCTTTGTTAGATTTTTGCATCAGCTTTTCCTTGGAGAGAGTGTTTATGCCATGAAACAGATTTTTACCTCACAGTAACACATGACTGATGCATTAACTAATCATTTTTCCACAGCTATTAATATTACATATGCAGTCAACATGTGAAATTAGCCTGCTAATCTTATTTTCTGAGCCATAACGCCCAAGAATGAAAAAAAGGATAGTCAGTTCAGCCTTCACACCCCTCTGTTTTTTACTCGCTTCTATTATAGCTTACATATCTTCTGGTCCATTTGCTTGGCATGACAGAACAGAAATAAAACTTTCAAACACAGAAGGAAAGAGCAGAGGCTGAAGCTTTCATCTGTGGACTGCATTATTAAACATCCCTATCCACATGAGTCTGACTTCACCCAATCACAGCTATCTCTTCCCCATCTTTCCTTTAACCTTACTTCCTTGTCTCTCTGCATCAGGCAAACTTGAAGAAGTTTATGGAATATGTGCAGCAGAGGAACACTGAAAAGCTCTCAAGATTCCTGGAAAAGGGCCTGGATCCTAACTTCCATGATCCGGATACAGGAGGTAAGGAAAGAGATATTACCCAGTGATCAAAGATAAGGTGTTCTGTTGTACTGCCTATCTTCATTTAATTTGTTTTTCTATTGTATTTTCTACCTTTTGCCGTCTGTCCTCAACACAACTGACCATGTAGGGCTTTTCTGAAATAAGCCTCCTGCTTGCTGGGAAGCTGGATTATTCATCCTCCTAATCGTCTTATGTATATTCAAATATTTGTTCCACCACAAAGGAGGTTGTTTCCCTGCTGGGTGACCTGTAGTCCCACAGATGAGCTGCAAAGTGAGGGGAACACAGGAATAGCTCAGTGTAACACTAAAAGAGCTGCCATTTAGATAGACAGGAATGTGACAATAACCACAGACAGTCGGTTATGTAAACAAAGAGTCACTTTAAATAAACAGTTTCAATTGTAATGTTTTAAATGTTGACAGCTACAGATATTTTTTTCATCAAGACTACACAGTGGTGTAACTGGAAAAAAATGTTCATTTTGAATATAGTTTGCTTACTCAGCCTTGGATCTCACAGAATGCCCACTATCGCTGGCAGCACAGTTGGAGGGATGTACCGAGCTCATCAAAGTGCTTAAAAATGGAGGGGCACATCTGGACTTCCGAACAAAGGATGGCATTACGGCCTTACACAAGGCTGTGCGCAGCAAGAATCACACCGCCCTTACAGTAAGTACAATACACAAAGGTACATACTGGCGCTGACTCTTCTGTTTTATGTCTTTGGTCAGATCAGTTGCCTCCAATTGGTTCCTGTGGGAATGTATCTATAAAACAGGGATTGATAACCTGTTAGTTTAAATAGGATACTTGAGTAATTACTCAATAAGTGAAGCATACAGTAGCATCCCCTATTTGAATGAACTACAATAGCAATTTAATTGCCTTTCATGTTGTGAAATTGGTTTTGTGCATCCTGCGATTTTCTTGTTTCCGAATTGGTTAAATTTGATTATTTGCTTTCACTCATAACCATTCTCCATACTTTTGATATCTGTTTTTTCATGCAGTATGCATAAAGTTCCAGAACTGTAAAAAACAACAGTGCAGTGCCGTGGAGACGTATATATTTTTCTTATCATCATGTGTTATATACCATTACAAGGTGGTTCAGAGTTGTTAAATAAAAATTAAAGACATGGTTCAAACATTTTGTGGAAGAAAAACTTAAAAGTGTGGTGTGCAGGTGTATTTAGATGACTTGAAGCTCTGCATACATTATTTTTTTTTTGTCTTTCCCAATTCTTTGTTTTTTTCTTCCACTTTAAAGTTACGCGTTACTTTGTGTTGGTCTGTTACTAAATCCAAACAGTACATTTCAAAAACATGTATGTTAGAGAATATTGAAACGTTTAATGGGTTTCAGTATTGCTAAAGTTGTTTTTGAATGAATTGTAATTGCTTTTGTTAAGTGCATTGTTGTTATTTTTTCTAATAACCCCTTCAACACATGCATGCTAATAGGATATAGTTTCAGGAGCTAATCATTTAATTGGACATTCCAATGGCTGTCACTATGTGGTGTCTGGCTTTTTTTTATTGTATGGAATAAATCCTCATTTACCAGATAAAACTTCAAAACTATAACTTTTCCTGCAGACACTGTTGGACTTGGGTGCTTCACCTGACTATAAAGACAGCAGGGGTCTCACTCCTCTCTACCACAGTGCAATGGTTGGGGGAGACCCCTACTGCTGTGAACTGCTTCTGCATGACCACGCACAGGTCGGCTGTGAGGATGAGAACGGCTGGCAGGAGATACACCAGGTAATACACCATGATATACACAAACCATCAACAGCTTTGATGGACAGTTTGTCAGAAAGAAACTGTATGGTTTTCAAAGTTCAAGTAAATGAATACAAAGTCTAGAAACTCCTTGAGAATAACATTCCCTTCAACAAAGAGGAATGATTTCTATCATTCACATCATTAGAAAGCAGATTAAGGATCATATTGATGTGCAGCTGGTCAAGGTAAGTAGGCAGATGAGAAAAAAACCCTAATGGCTTCCATCCCAGTAACCTCACGCGTGAATGGGCTCCAAAGATTAACTCCTGGTCCACTCTACAGTATATGCTGACAACTATTAACTACAATTATTATAATAACTATAATGCAATAAATATTAACAAAACAGATTTGGTTTATATTAAGACATATAAAGTTTTAAATAGCCAATATTGTTAGCAATTACATTCAAAATATAGTAACTGCTGCTACCTGTGAGAGAATCTTCACAATCATCACAGTTAGTATTACTAACTTTAGCATATAAGCAGCGAAAATGCTGTAAGTTCTTAGTTGTCAATGCAATTTTTCTGGTTTCTTTTTGTCTTAAAGATGACATATTAATTTCAGACGATGGTTACACAAATAACTTCACAATTAGCCAGTTTTTTGTCTTTATTTTTAAAATTATAGTCAACTTTAAGGTAAAAGACTGTAACAACTGCTGCAACTGAAAGCATAATGAAGAAAGGTTCTATATATCTTTTTGAATAAAACTTAAAATAAGATTGTAAAAATCTTTTCCTAGAAAAAAAAACATCTTGATATATGTCATATATTCATATAAGGTTATCAAGTCTAAGGTTCCTAAAGCATTTTACAAACTCACAGACTGATAGTAGAAAGTTGCATTTTAGCCTCAGCCACCCTAGGGGCTCTAATAGAAACAAAGCTACCGTACAACCAGTGGCGCCAGGCCCAGGGACCACCAACAGCAGGGTGAGGTGTGTTTTCCAAGGACGGAATGGGGGCTCATACTTGCACAACACCCCTTTAATAGTAACTTTTGAAAAATGCATATTACCTTTGTCAACAAGGAGGTCATCCCTTTTTTAGTTTTTTTTTGTAGGTTTATTGACTGCTGTTTTCTGACAACCATTGCATAGTTTAATAAGGACCTGCAGTCTGTTTACTCAGTTTAACACAGTTCAATTCTTTGTTTTTGTTAGTTTGACAACATTTTAATTGCTAATGTCAATTCTACTTCAAGGACCAATATTGCTCAGTTGAGAACATGGACACACACACAAATGAACATACTTCATTTTATCTAGATGACAGTGACAAACTGACACTGCTATTTCATTTTGAGGCAGTTGAGTGGAAATAATTGTTCCCAGAGATTGATACTTTGATGATTGCAACTCTTGAACTACCAGGTCATGATGGTCCCAGCTGAGCTTAGGTGAATAATCAACTTTAAAGGGCACATATGGAAATATGTAGCCTGTATAGGCTGTCCTTACAGATAGAGTTACAGTAATAAGAAAGTACAGTACATCCTATGTTCTGAGTTTTTAGCATTTAATTATTAGGCTTTTGCACAGGTGGAAAGAAAATCTGTTAAAAATCTTATCATCTGTTTAACACAGGAATGGCACACACAGAGGATAAAGACTTAACAAGCCGGATTGTTCCCTTAATTGAAGACTCTATTACTGTAGGTGATAGGGCAGTTTAAATTCCTAATCAACCAGTGAAGGCTGGTTTATTGGTTTGCCTCACCTTCAGTACTCCAAATCCAACAATGAGAAACAGACTGAGAAAAGCCTCTGCATGCACACACTGTAGCAGATGTGATGAACTCTACACAATGCCAACATTCTTGGGCCAAGTAGTTTGCTATACTGTTAAATGGTGTACTTTGTTATTCATAGAAAGTAAGGGAATCTGGAAAATGTAAAGGTTCCTCCCTAAGAAATTCAACTCTTGCAAATTTCCAAAACAGCTGAGCAAGTATTTGACCCCAGGATTCACCTTGACTGTAATTATATGTGCAGCAGCAACAGCAAAGTAAGGGCACTAAAATCCCATAAATCAGAGCTCATCCTGCTGGTTAAATGAAGCATCACTGGCTTTTCTGTTAAAGCCTCAATGACAAGGTGGCACAGGGTTCTTTTCTTTATGAAGAAGCAATTAAAGCACCTATATGCAGACCAGGCACCCAGCAAAGAATCAGCGATTGCTCTGTCAGTTATTAGCTGGCCACTAGTCACATGTCACATTTGCTTTAATTAAAGTACTCTTAAGCAACTCACCCTACATGACCATAACCAAGTCATTTACTAGCAGTCAAAATCATAAGACCTGTGTGTTAAAGTGGTCTAGACCACTGAGAGCAATATCTTGTACCTTTTTTTTCCTACACACTGCCTTAAGGCATGAGCTGCTCTCAAAAATGTACCGTACCATTGCAGTTTTGTTGGCATAACTGACTAATGGCAGAGCAATACTAAAAACTCTGATGAATATTAGACTCCAGCTGTTGTCATCACATCTGTACACATTGCTTTTGAGTTGCATGGAAATGTACACAGTTTTGTTTTTTAGATGAACTGCCTAAAGTGGGCCTATTGGGTGCTATTTTAATGTCACTCTGTATTTTTTTTTTATTTTCATATAAACTTGTTAAATTATGCAATATTTATCACAAAACCATCTAAGTGCTGCTCTAAAGGTCAAACAGTGTCTATTGCAGGACCTATTCCTATGCACTCAAACTGTACATGCCAACATCATCATAGCCCTTCGTTCAGGCATAAAAGCTACATTTGCAAACAGGTGCCCCCAAAAGTGAGTCATTCTTTCATTCACTGCCTTTGCTTCTGCCTTTGGTCACCACTAAGTATACTTTGTATGCCTACCTTTAAGCTAGATTCGAAATTTGGTCAAAGTTGGGCCTTAATTTCGTTGGATCGATTTTGGTCCGGTCAGGCTCTTAGATTTATTTTCCTGTCATGCAATAAAATCTTAGTCTATTCAAAGCAAAAGTTGAACCCGACCTATAGTCTATTGCTAAGTCAGTAGCTGGAACCAGCAGCTATTTAAGCCGCAGACCCCCAGGCTCCACAATTCTCCACCTCAAAATATCTGTTTTGTAACCACCGTCATACAGAATCCAACCTGTTTGAGGTCCAGTAATGTTACCATAGTCATGATTTGGGGAGCCTTGTCATCTCCTGGTCTTGGTCCACTGCATTGTATCAAGTGCAAAGTCAGCACAGCTGTCTACCATTAAATTTCAGATCCCTTTGTGTTTCCATCTACTAAAAAGCTTTATAGATATGCTGGTTTCATTTTCCCGAATGACTTGGCTCCTTCCCACACTGCCAGAAGTAATTTTACCTGCTTTAATGATCATGGTTTTAGTTTGCTTGACTGGACAGCAAACTTAAAGAGCATAAACCACAATGACTGTAATATATTCTCAGTCTCTCAGTGCAGGTCACTACCCATCACCAATATTTTTTATTTAACTTTAATATGGCCTGCATAAACAAAATACAAACTGTTTTAATGTCTACACAAATAATGGATTGTATTTATAGGTTTTATGCCTGCCAACCCTTTCGTATGTGTTTGATTTTTTTCCGCATGCTTTTTGGCATTAATAAACCTTAGGTATACAGTACACCATTTGCAATGGAATATGCCAAAGAAAAGTGATAATGTGGAACAATCCCAGCACTATTTTTGCATTCCCCCACTTCTTAAATGCACTCCAGTGAGAAAAAGACAGAAGCAATTGAGCAATTGCTGAGGAGAGGTATTTTTCTTCTATATGAATGACAAAAGACAAAACAGGAAAGTAAAGAAAAGATGAAAAAATATTGCTCCAAGTTAGGTGCAGCAGCAGAGCAGAAAATGTCCTACAAGAATAACTTCACACATTTACATTTAGCCTCAGGTAGTGCAAACAAGATTTTTATCTCCTTTTAGAGTCTGTTGTTGTGAGTGAAGAGGAATTCCTGTAAAATGTAGCTATAAGGAAGGCTGGAGGTGCTTCGGGATTGGTGAGCAACACCCTTTATCCTAGTGGACATGGTGCTCATAACAATTAATGACAAGAAATGAGGGGAAAAAATGAAAATGAAAGATTTTGTACATATTTCAGTGGTTTAAAGATGAGAAATGTTGGGACACTGTTTTGATGAACTGTTTAAAGCATTATCTGGTATAAGTGCCAATAAAACTTCTTCTACTAGCTGTATTAAACGGTAAAGAAAAAAAGTAGTTCAGAGTAACATCTTGATGATGACAAGTAGACAATAAGGACAGATGCTGGCTGCAGCCCAGCTGTCTCTTATTTAAGTGCTTTTTGATCATAGTTTTTGGCCAGGTTCCTCATACATATTGTGTTCCTCATTATAATCCTGTGTGGTTCCTTCATGGCACCTCGTAGCACACTTCATTTCTTAACTGCATTTTCAACCCATTGACAATGTTTTCTCAGTAACACTGAGCCATAGGAGTAAGTTTATTCATTTATCATTTTAGGCATGTCGCTACGGCCACGTCCAGCATTTGGAACATCTGCTGTTCTATGGAGCTGACATGAGTGCCCAGAATGCATCTGGAAACACCGCCCTGCATGTGTGTGCTCTGTACAACCAGGTAACTTTCATTTAGATAATAACAATTCTGACTTTTTTTTAACCAGTTCTGTAAAAGAAAAAGTTTAGCTTCATTATGGTGAGATGACTCCCTTATAAAGCATGTTGTACCTTAAATGCTTACACAGAATATTCAAGTGTTGCAGTTTTGGCTGAACTTAATAATTTAACATATTAAGCCCTTTCCTTTTTGGTTTTAGCTGTCTAAATTTTATCCCATGTTAAATATTTAATGCTGCGCATGACCAATACATGAGTATTTGCACTCACTTAACTGTACACTGTGTAGAACACTGCAAGTTCAGTCGATGCCAACTATAGTTAGAGCTTTCCATGCATTTGTTTCTAGATTCTGATTAAAAATGTCTATATTTGTATAAACTTTATAACCAATTACTTATTGTAAAACAATTAGTGCTTCAAAGTTTATGTGAAGAAAAATCGTTTTCAGTCTAATTGTTCTAGTTCTTTTAGTATTTGATACATTTCCTTAAAAATAAAGCGTGTTTGATGAAAGGCCTGAGAAGGGCTGACTTATGTTATGCCACAGCTATCTAACTGGGAGTGGTTTGTACTGTAATTGAAGTATAAAATAAAACGTACAGCATTTTTAGTCATTTTATTTTATTTTTTCAAAAAGCTGTCATTATCCTGCTGGTATGTTTGGCACTGACAGCCCACTGTTGTGAAAATGTTGGATCTTTATGGAACTTTATATGTTCAGCTTTCTGATTTGTACAACTCGACATCATACTGTAATTGTATGATATTAGTCGGTTTTTACTGTTTGTGCCAGTTGTTGCATAACTTGGTAAAAAGAAGCCATTTGCTTTAAATAGAAAAAAATTGTTTATTTTTTCAAAGGGTTGTGATGATAATCCACATTGCTAATTTAAACGTTTTCTTCTGGATGTTTGAAAGTAGACTTATTTAAGACACAGAGCACATTGCATTAGCAAAACAATTCAAAGAGCTGTATATGAACAAAAGATGCGAGAAAAACCGAGAAAAGTATAATGCAGAGGCATCATAATGGCAGATAGAGAAAAGTTTTGACAACAAACATACTTATTTTTCTCAATCTTATCTACTCATTGACAATTGTTACTTTAGGCCTATATTTGCCTAAAATTAAATCAGTCTCTGTCTTGGGAGCTTGTAATTCCGAGGATTGTGTTTTGTCATCCTAGCACAGTTTGCTGATGGTCAATTGTCATGGAGAGAACTACTAAAGTACCTCTCATTGTTGGTGAACTTTTACTTTCCACTGTTTGACTTTGAATAATAGGGGATTGTCCATCTTAAAAGCCAAAGTCGTCTCCATGGGAGTTAGAGACTTCTGATGCTATAAACCTTTTGCCTAGAGACTACTCCTTTCTCTTAGGAGACGTCACCACTTTACATCGAAAGGCTACTTTTCAGTGAATGTCAACTTGGACAATAATCTTTGTTTGCCAGTAGACTTTGACTTTCCACCAACAGTTCCAGAGTGGAAAACCCTAAATCACCTCTGCAATCTTTTACATATTTTGCCTTTAACTACTTTATGCTGAATGTTAATGTCATCTCTTAATTTTATCCAATTTGATGCACGGAGTGTTTTATGCCAATGTTTTTATAAAACATTATCAAAGTTTTTCCCTTTACACAGGTCTTAATGTAAACTTAGCTATCAAGGTTTTTAACACTGTAGCTTTCATGACTTCCAAAAGAAACACATTTTTTTTTTGTTTGAATTAAAATTTTATTTTATGGTCTTCTAACATGACAGGAAACGTGTAAAAGGTTGTCTTAAGTAATTTTAATATGGTAGTTTTACCATGTTTTGGGCACTTGATGCTCACCCTCCAACATCAGTCAGTTATGTGTAGTAGATAACTCTAAACATACTGTGTGGCAGACCATGATAAAGAAACCTGGTCTTGATCCTGCCATGTTGGGGAATTTATGGCCCATCTCAAATTAACCTCTACGCCCAAAAACCCTGGAAAAAATTATTTATTCTCAGTTCCTTCTTTCCTTGATAAAAAAAAAAATAATATCACTGATGTGTTTCCTTATGGTGTAATACATTTTCATCAAAAGGAGTCAGCCCTGCTGAGAGTTTATAATGACATTCTCCTGGCATATTATGATTGTGTGGTTCCTGTTTTGCTGGACTTAACTGCTGCTTATATACAGTGGATCATGGTATTTTACTGTCACGTCTACTGTACCAAATAGGCATTAGTGGTACAGCTCAGTTGTGGCTTAGGTCATATTTGACAGACAGAATGTTATTTGTAAAAATTGCAGGGTGTAGATTCTTTTCTGCTCTGCTGTCTTTTTGGGTCTCTGAGTGTTCAGTTATAGAGAATTTGCCCTTTTCTCTGTGCCCTCTTCCTTCAGGGTCTATTTTCAAAAACAATTTGGCTTCTCTTTCCATTGCCATGCTGATGATTGCCAAATATGTGTGCCTATGAGGTGAAGCAACGCGTGGTCCATTAAACCTCATTTATTGTGTCTTGAGGATATTAGAGGTTGAATAGTGATACATCTGCATTTTAATGAACAAAGACTAAGACTCAATTTTGGACCTAGAAGATTTTTATTTTTTATTTTCCCTTCTTGTTACTCTTGACTCCCTGACATTATAACAAACATTGGTTTAGGACACACATGATTTTCATGTGACGGCCATGTTGAGCTATGGTTTTATATTTAAGTAAAATAGCAAAATGATCTAGTAATTCATGCAAATTTCATTTAATCTGGATTAGATTATTGTAATTTCCTTTTGTAATGGAGTCAAGCATGCCTCACTTGCTCGTCTCCAGTTGGTGCAAAATGCTACGACATGTTTTTTTAACAAGAACACGGAAAAGGGAGAACATTACTCTGGTCCTGGCTTCTCTTCAATAGATCCCAGTGTAGCTCAGAGTTCAAAAGGGAGTAAAGAGTTCAAAAATCTTTTTTTTCTTTTTTTTAAGATCTAACTGGCCTCTCCCTACTTGGAAGAGCTTCTCATCCTTCCTAGAGGAGACAGAGCCTTCTCTATACAAAACATAGTTCTACACTACCGATTTGTTGTTTCACACGCCATCTTAGTAGGCTACGATAGATAACCACATTATGGCTTCCAGACGCTTAGTAAAAAAGGATATCGATATCATTGGTCAGAAAAAAATCTATGTTGCAGACATTGCAACACTACAATATCCTACTATTTTTGCAGCTTCGCACGTGGTGTCTCACTACACTGCCCAGCAGGTATTACTTCATGCCAGCAACAAGTATTCCTTCCAAACTGTTTTAAATGTGGCACAGAGCTGACAAGGCTCCCCAGGCAATATCTGGCACTGAGACACACTGCTCAGAGCAGCCAGTCACAAGGATCTGCAGCTTTTCAGCCTCTCTCCCTCTGCCTCATTGACAGGTGCGCAATGGGAGACAACACAAGGCATCCAACTAGACTTTGTTTCTTTTGTTTTTGTATATAGTATCAGTAAAAAAGGGAAAATGATCACTCAACTATAAAGCATGAAACTTCTGCATGGCGCGATCTGACTCTGATGCTCCTAGAGTTTGAGGTAAACTTCTAATCTCCTTAGAAGTTTTCTGGGCTTTTTAGTTATCATTCGTATTATCCATTTCTTTGTATTTCCATCAACCACCTGCAGCCACATCTATGGAGGCTGGCTATAGCCTCATAGATCTAAAATTCCAGAATATTAACACAATTATCTTTCATTGTCTTCCTTTGGCTCATGTTCAGTGTGGTACACACCATGTCACCAAACAGCACAGTGATGAGCTGTAGCCCTATACACAGGCCACTGTCTGGTTACAGTTTGTAGACACCTGCAATACTAATAAGTGGACACACCTTGATTTAACATGTTCCTTTGGTCACATTGTTTTAAGTCTTTTCCATGGGTACCATCGTTTTTATCAAGCCCTGTTTTATGAGTTTATCCTTTAAATCGTTCTGTTAAAACATAATTGAAAAGCATGTTTAATTTCTACATTTTCAAATATCTTTTCTCTATTAGTAATTTTGTTTTAAAGTTATTTATGTAACCATTGTTTTTTTTTTCTTTCTAATATTGCTTTTGCAAAGTGACAGCCGCTATATGTGCAGGCTCTCATTAGCATTTTTTGTGCTCTTGTGTGCTTATATATGTTTATAACTTAGTGTTATTTTCAGATATGTTGTTTATCTTTGCTAGATGAAGTTACAGTTAGAACCAGTAGGCATTGTCCGGAGGCTATGTTGCTTCCAGTCAGGACTGACATTAGGTGCTTCCAACAACATGTTAGGGTTGTCAAAAGTGAAACGTTGTATCCGGATACAATACTCATTTTCAAAAGTATCGATACAGCCATTTAAAGTGCAGAATAGTGGTAAACGCACTTTCTGAACACTGTGTGATTGAATAATTCTGTGCATTTTTCAGTTTTAGACTTTTTTTGTAACAGGTGCAGCTGCTGAGAATTATTTTTGTTTTACTGGTTTCGCTAGTGTCATTGTTATGTCTGCAAAACATAGCCAAGGAAGGAACACTTAGTTTTCATTTTGTAAGTTTTTTTATCAAGCTTGCTTAATATTGTGCACAGCATACAACCTCAAAATATTATTCTTATTGTTTTTTTATTTATTTCTTGTATTTTTTAGTAATGAAAATATTTCTGTTGAATTTTAGAGTCTTTGTTTTTATTCTTGTGGTATCGAAAAGGGTATTGAATATTTTACTTAGTATCGGTATCGAGTTGAAAAGTTTAGTATCGTAACAACCCTACAACATGTTCAGCTTCAACCTGAATGGTTTTTAAAATTTAAGCTCAAATGCAAAGATTTCATACAAGCTGAGGTCTATAAATAGGATTCAATGCAACTGCAGAATGAACAATATATAAAGGCAAGATTGCAACAAATTCAACACACTATAAAGGTGTAATATTATTTCTATTTGTGAATGTAAAAACTTTAATGAGACATGTAATCTATGCATCAAATTAATTAGAATTTATTATTGTCTTCCCTCATTCAGATTATGAGTAATAATTAAATGCATATTTTATATTATGCCCATATGCCAAAGGCATTATGAATTTATATGTAAATGATGTACCTCTCGCTTTACAAATTAAAATCATTCTTTCTCCAAGAAAATTATTTATAGTTTTTAATTTTTATGACTATCTACAACTGATTTCCAGTATGAGGTTTGTCCCAGAAGTAAAATCCAAGGCAATAAAGGAATAGATAGATAGTTAGATAAATAGATAGATAGATAGATAGATAGATAGATAGATAGATAGATAGATAGATAGATAGATAGATAGATAGATAGATAGATAGATAGATAGATAGATAGATAGATAGATAGATAGATAGATAGATAGATAGATAGATAGATAGATAGATAGATAGTTTAATAAGCCATGATGTAGGACCTCAATGCTTTGCTCAAAAACCTTTAATTAAAAGAGAAAAAAAGTTTTTTATGCCATCCTTATGAAATCATTATAGCATAAAAGGAGAGTGCAGATTCTGAAATATGAATGAAAACACTGAATACTGACTCAAGTGCAGGGAAGCAAAGTAAGGGGTAGTGGCTTGGAGTGATCTGAAAAACCAATCATACCCTCGTGAGATAATATAAAAGTTCCTAAAAAAACATATGACTATTTACTATTCGGTTTAAGCCTGCTCAATGTAATGAATGAAACAAATGAACCCTGAAAAGATGCCTTCCTGATGCCATAAATGTGGTTCCCACTTAATGAAAATTAAATGAGCTCTCTCTGTAATGAAAAACAGAAACTTCATATAAGTAAAAACTGGAAAATATCCCTACATCTAGATGTTTTTCCTGCATGTCCAATTTTTTTTTTTTGATGAATGAACTTCAGCTCAACTGGAACACCATATTCCCAAGAGCAGGAGGCAGTTTGTATGTTAAGTAAGCAGAGCTTCACTAATTAATACTAACAGTTTGTAACATGTCCATGTGGCTACAGTCATTGCGTGTTTATGGCACCATCTCAATGGGGAAAGAGCCCAAGTTTGAACTTTTTTTAGTCGTGTTTTAGGGAGCTATTGTGAATATGTCTGGATCTGCCTTCAGTTTGTGTTGAATATTTGAGAAATATAACATTTAAGCATAAACATTAAAACAGTTGATTCAGGGAAAGTTTATGCTCAACAAAGTAACAGCTCTGACTTAAGTTGCAGTTTGCCATCAAAATATACGACAGAGAATGGATGACTTGTTTGAATTTTCAGCTCCTTGTACTATTTACTTTGTGTTCCCTGTGTTAATAGAACCTTGATGTAGCTCTGGTCGGTCCTCAATGAAGAAAATGACATTTCAATCAGCTTACACAGTAGCTTACTACAGCCACTCTGCCAGTCTGGCACTGTGGCTGTAGTAAGCTGATTGATCTCAGAAAGCTTGTATCATAGCAGGGTTCTAGCAGACCTGAAGCAGGCTTGTTTTGGATGATTATCTACAATGACAGTAAGAATAGGGCTTGTAGGATCAATTTCGAAAAGCAGTTGTCCAGTGGCAGGATCAATAGATCCATGTGTGGAGAGAAGAGAAACTGTCAGGAAGTGGGGAAGATAAATTAAGCTGTGAGGGAAAGCGTGAATGAATATATAATTTTCAGTAATCATCATTAGAATAAGCGGGTTCAGTGCTTGTCCCTCTCCTTGGATCTGTATGGCTTTTACCATTAACTTAGCGGGTCTAGCAGATGTGCCAGTGAATGAGGACATGGCAGGGGTCTGTGGCTTGACAGAGCAATCCTTGAGACATGCTTGAAAGCAGTTATTGAGGAGACAGGCAGAACTGTGGGGAATGGTAAATTAGCATACCCTGATGGGTAAAAAGTGAGTTAACTGACACAAGACAAAGGACTGCCTGAATCAGTCTGAAGCTAAGTCATTAAATACAATGCAACCAGATACCAATGGTTATAGAGTTATGTATATTATACAAAATCCACAGTTTTCTACAATATGAAAAAGACTTAATAGCTTTGCAAATAAGTTGCTCAGTGTACACAAATATGGTTTTAGGTCAAATCGGTCTACCTCAGACCGTAATGGAACTGGTAGAGGTAATATCAATACCAGAGTCCTCTTCTGGGATTTTTATAGATGAAAGCAAGGCCTCTGACATAAAAAAAAAATGGAAAGGTATGATTTCAGGGGTGCACCTTATGACTGGTTAAAGAGTTACCTTAATGATGGAGACCTGCTTGTACATATGAATAATGAACATTCTGATTTTGTTAAGTTAAAAATATCCCACGGAGTTCCGTAGGGTTTTTTCTCTAAAACCAAATTGTTCATTTAGGGAATCAAATAATTATGTAAAGATGTAAGAGAAAAAAAAAAAAACAAGAAAAAAATGACATTGTATCATCTTTGCTGATATACTAGTCTGTATTGCTGTTGACAAGATCTTGAGCTGCATTTGGATGGAGGGGGGCCTAAAATTGAAATGTAAAAAAAAAAAAAGCTTTCTGACCCACATGCAGAATCAACTCAGTTTAAATTTGGAAAAGGGTTTATTTTTAGAAAACACGGGCAACAGACAATTCTTGATCCTTCAGGAGTGAGAAGGAGGTTCCATTAACAGTGGCGTTTGAAATGAGAGTGGGGTTAATGGTGACCAGAATGTTTTTATCTGGGATTAATAAAGAGAGATTACTTTTGAATGGCTTGGGGGAAGATGGCCAGGGTCCCGTATGGGGAGGTTGATATTTCTCTGATTGTGTAAGGTGGGTGGTAATACAGAGAACCAGGATTCTGATGGAGCCGGCAAGGAAATGATGAACGGCGGAACGGGCAGGCAGGTAACTTGCAGGTAAATCTATAGGAGGTGAATCAGTGGAACTGATTCCTCTAGAAATCCACAAGAGAAAACCCTAGAGACAGCAAACACAAATGGTGTGTTCGAATTCTTGGGCTACGTCTTTTAAGGACACGGTCTACCTGGACTGGATCCTTCAAAGTCTTTGAAAGTAAGGGGACTAGAAGAGTTTTGGCTGTGAATTCAAAGAGGTCCAACCCTTTTTTTTGTTTTTGTTTTTTATTGTAAAATGAACAAAGACTACACTGATGAGAATACAAAGTCTAATCAAGGTGACAACCACCAGGAGCATTAACAAATAAAAGCCATTGTTATGATATAAAGCTTAGTCAGTTAAATAACATGCTGTCATTTTGCACATCTCTGATGTTGCTGCTATTTTAACATATCCATTAAATGTAAAAATATCCATAGCTGTATATTGTTTGTTTTTATTTTCCAGGAGCAGTTTTTTTTATATTGTTAAAACACTTTACAGTACAGTATTTTATTGTTTATCTTTTAATTTTTCGCTGTTATGTTATTCTTATACATTTTTCTAAGTTATACATTTGTGTGACCATTTTTTTTAATCTTTTTGCTGCTGTAAAAACCAGAATTTCCCCAACGTGGTACAATAAAGGGATTTTCTATTCTATTACAATATTTTCTTTTCTATTCTATTATATTCTATTCTATTATATTATATTATATTATATTCTGCAGTTATTAATACTAACTTTAGCAACATTTTCTGTTTCAATTTTATTATTATTATTATTATTTTTTAATGCTGGAAATCTAGTTTTAAACGATTCTGTTTAGGAGTCACTCACAAAAAGACAGTACATCCATATTCCCCAAAAAGGCTGCTCTAGTTTAAGGAATGGTTACATATGCCTACAGTACTTCATAGGTCAAACCACGTCTGTGTCACTAAGTGAACCATATGTTAGTTTGTCAATGCGTGCTCTGATGTGTAACTCAGTGTTGACAGAAATCAGAGTGCCGACAGCAGAGATAGTCTAATTCTAACCCTGGTCACGTGTTAAATTACATATCGACCATCAGTCAGCAGCTTTTGAATGTGCAACCCTTTCTAGCAGTCTACATTTAGGTTTTTTGTTAGGAGGTCATTTCATTTATATGGAAACTAGTTTCAGGAAAAAAAATCTTAGGCCTTAAGGTTTTTTTCCCCTTTCTATCAGATGGTGTAGAACAATTTAGCTCTTATTGCTGTTGGTTCATACATACAAAACATTTGATGCTGAACTGTTTTGGAGAGTACCATCAAGGTTTTTTATACAAGGAGGAAGTATGCATTATGTATAAAAATGCAATGTACTAAAGTTTAGTTTGACATCATTTAGTAGTTAAGTAACATAATTGAACTGAAATTTTTATCTCTTGGTTAAATAGCTGAAAACCAATGACCGAAATTGAAAAACAAAATGATATATTGTTGGCACTTCCAAACACAATGCAAGATAATATATTTTACAAATTTTAGACCATTTCTCAGATTGTTTTTGTCCCATTGCTAAGTCTTTTAGGTATGTCTTTCTTGTAAAGATACCATATTGCTCTTCCCTACACCTCCATTGCGAGAGTCATGTTTAACAGTGCTGTAAGCCAAGTTCCTTTCAGAGGAGAGGTTGCCATTAATAATAATCCAGGCAATAACAGTTACAATAACTGTCACAGCGTCTGTTGCAATTTATATAACTCTTCTTTATATGCAATTCTTCAAAAAGTTTTTTTTTTTTTCAAGTTTTTCTATTTCTAACATGTTTTTAAATGTGTTCTGACTTCCATTGTCACATTAGTGGCTTATTATTGTACCCTACATATTTACCATTCAGACAAACATATGTTCAGTCTAATGGGATCTTTTGGACATATGAGGGATCATGCCAATTAGACCTGCTCTGGTTACTATTGAATCGATGTGTTGCTTATGTGTCATCTGATGTGACCTAAAAAACTGTCTACACTCCACAAACAGCAGTGACATTCACACATGTAAATCTCTCTGTCATGTAGGATAGCTGTGCACGTGTTCTACTATTCCGGGGAGCCAATAAAGAGATAAAAAACTACAACAGCCAGACAGCATTTCAGGTATGTATGGTGTCAAATGTAAATGTTACATTTTGATAGATAACATGGATTTTCAATTTTTTTTGCAGTTTGGTCTTAATATGTTTTTTGGATCAAAGATAAGATAGTGAGCAGATATTTTTTTTGATACTGTATATCTGAAATATTAGATAACATACAAATATACAACCTACTGCTACAAAAGTAATTGGACATGTTAAAATGTTTTTCCTTTTCTTAAATACTTTCTATATTTCAACTGTTTTTTTTTTTTTTCTTCCATTAGGTTGCTATTATAGCTGGAAACTTTGATCTGGCAGAAATCATTAAGGTTCACAAAGCATCGGATGTTGGTAAGTTGACAGCAAAGGTAGACCTTACCAGTTCTGGATAGATAATAGAGAGGAATCTTAATTTCCATAAATGTATGAAACTGAAAAGAGTTTAGAGGTATGACATGTAAAGAAAAAAAAATACAGTGTAATATTGGATCACTGAAGATTTAAGGAGGTTCTCTTTGAAATAACATACAGGAAAACTCTGCCATCTGGTGTGGACAACTTGTAATGCCTCACTCCAGAGTGAATGAATGTAATTAGTTTATCATTTGTAAGCAACCTAAGCAACAACACTAATAAATCTGTAATCGCATATAAGGGTAATATATCGTCAAGACAGTTAAGTGTGAAACAACATTTTATTGTTTTGATTTTTTATGCTAAATGTTTAAAATGTATATAAAGAGCACCCAAATTAATTTTACATTTAGTTGTTTTTTATCACTTCTTTACAGTCTTTCAATAGTTTGAATTGATTATTTATTTTACTTCTTAGATTTACAGCTAGTATACCTATTAATGTGCTTTCAACTTTCTTAGACTTTTCCACATTGATTGGGATTTAAAAGGGTAGTCCAATATACAGTAGTTTATCATTTAAAATGAAATTGATGGCAAAAATTTTTTAGAAATAAAAAAAAAAAAAATAAAAATCATGCTTTTCTATTTAGGCTCCCTAAATCTGATATTAATTGAAGTGCAGTCAGTTTCCCTCCTAAATGAAATAATTTAGCATTCGCTTTAGTAGATAAAGCTCCCCTTTCTTTAATTTAATCTCAATATAGATCCCTCTGTTCTGTTAAGGAATTATAGGTTTGTTAATGAACATCTGAGAACAAAAAAAGCAGACAGGTCAGGGATAAAATACTACTGGGCTTAACAGGGAACTGTTATCAATCATGCAAAAGTTGAAAAGGTTTTGGCTAAATTCAAACCTCCCAAGACAAGCTTGGATTACCACCAACTTACAGCCAATGACAGGATGAATTAGAAACCAACTTATGGTAACTCAGAGGAAACAGCTCAGGTAATAGAAATCCTCACATTACAGTTATTTTGTATATTCTTAACCAATCTTACCTTCATAGAAGAGTTTTATCAAGAAATCTGTACTAAATTCATATGAAGCACAATTTGCTCTTTTGGACAAGCCGTGGAGTCTCATTTTTTAGATGTTTTAGAATGAATCTACAGTAATAATCTTTAAAAAAATATATTTCTAATGTAAATGTAGATTTAAAGATATTTTAGCTATCAAAGCATCCATGTATTACTCTTGGCTACAGTAATAACCGTAATTAGTCAATGGTTTGCTTCTTTTCTCTTGTAGTGCCTTTTAGGGAGACCCCCTCCTACACCAACCGTCGCCGTGTTGTGATAGGCACCCTGCCCTCACCCCGTTCCTTGCTGCGCTCTGCGAGTGACAATAACCTGAATGGTGACCATGATCACATCCACCCTCAGCGCCCTCGAGAATCCCGTGGCCGCCCGGGTCACTCCCCTGTTCCTTCACTGCGCAGTCTCCCAGCTTTTGGGCAACAGCACAGCAGCCTCGGAGAAGTGAGAATATTTAAAAAAGAGTGTTAAAAGCAAGATTAATGTCAGTCTAAAAGGTCGTGGTTATTTTTCTATCATTAAAATAATCATGTTTTAATCTTTCCTCCCTGCTTTTTGTTAGAGTCGTCACGGAGAAATCCCTGACAGCAGTCTCCAGAGCACCGGCAGCTCTAGATCCTCCCATTCCCGCTCACCATCTTTACATCACATGCATGAGGAGGACAAGCCAGTCCCCAGACGTTCCCACAGCCATGGCTATCCTCATGGACATGGGGGTGGAAGACTCAGGTCCGTAACAATCCCCTCTGCACACTTCTTTCTGTTTACACAGACAACTTTTGATAACTATTGTAAATGTTTTTCATCTCTTCCCTAAATGATCTCACCCATGCCAGTCTTTTCACGAATTCACACTGTTTATTTGTGACCTGCCTTATAATAATGTACCTACTTTGATTTTTAAAACAGTTTTAAAAAAGCCAAGTGTCCCATGTGATGTGTCTGAATCATTTGTTAGTCACTGGTAGCATTGCATCTTATACCATCTGCTCCACTATTGGGAATAACCATGACTGGTAATAAGCAGTAAGCAATCTTCATTTAATCATAAGTCATTTGCATGTCGCATACATGAGGATGGAACCCATTAGATGTTGATGAACTAATAAAGCTTTATGATAACAGGCTGACAATCACAGACATGTGTATGCCATGTTTAAACAAGAGTCCCTATTTGTTTAGCAAGCAGAGCTGATATTCAGTGTTTGTTCCACCAAAAGGACAGAAAAAATACAGCTGTTTAAAATAAATGTCGGTGTAAAGGTTTTAATGTGTGTATAAAGCCATTTCCACACAGCAGTATTTAATGGTGCTTGCACTGTGCTGTGCATTGTGAAGGAAGCTAATAATATCCCTTGGGATGAACTTAAATCAGCCAGTTTTGGATCTGTAGACATGATTTTATCTGAGCTAGTGATTTATGTAGCGTTGTCTTGTCAGTTAATGGTTGAACAAATCTCCTGTGTCTTGTGCTAAACTCATAGATGAATAGAACTAGGTCACATCTCAAGGAACAACATTACACATTTATTATTGGTTAAGAACTTTTTAAATATAGTGACAAATTCTGAAATATTACCTACATGCAAGTTGTCAGGGAGAGGTGGACTAGTGGTAGGCATTTATTGGATCCTACTCTGCACTGCAAAAACATCTAGAAATGAGTCAAAATGTCTTAAAGGAAAATTCCGGTTTTTAACACTTTTAGCCCATTTTCTGTAGTGTCCAGGATGAAATCGAATGATCGACACCAAAATTTTGACGATTGGTCCTGTCTCTGCTATTTGGCTCATGCAGAATCCCCCCCTGGCTGCTTCAGAATGGCTTCCATAGTGCATGTCCGATAATGTCCTTAAAACAACCTTAAACGTTCTTTTTATTAAAATATGCTACTCACCGGGTCGTCAGCGCTGTTCAATGACGTTCCAAAAAAAGTTTCGTAAAGAAAAAACGTTCCTGTAGTGTTTTATTTAGCATTTTGTAAATCCCATTGAGTTCTGTTGGAATAGTCAATATCCCTTCGCCACCGGAAACGGAAATGGGGCCTGTTTACGCTTAGTTGTAGTCTTTTCGCAAGGCCCAAGTGTTTCTGCTTCACTCTGTGTACTCCGACGTCGAGGTGCTAACGTCTCTGTTAAACACTTTAAAAAACTCTGAAAATGGAATACGAAAGGTGGATTCTTGAGGAGGACATATTCATATACATTCCCAAAGTATAGAGACATTGTCGCCAACTAGTGGTCTGGAGTGTGCAACGCTTCAGATTCGAACGGGAAGCGGAAGTTTATAAGCGGTTGTGATGTATCGGAAAAAAATAGTTCTGGGATTTACAAAATGCTAAATAAAACAAGACAGGAACGGTTTTTCTTCACGAAACTTTTTTTGGAACGTCATTGAACAGCGCTGACGACCCGGTGAGTAGCATATTTTAAAAAAAGAATGTTTAAGGTTGTTTTAAGGACATTATCGGACATGCACTATGGAAGCCATTCTGAAGCAGCCAGGGGGGGATTCTGCATGAGCCAAATAGCAGAGACAGGACCAATCGTCAAAATTTTGATGTCGATCATTCGATTTCATCCTGGACACTACAGAAAATGGGCTAAAAGTGTTAAAAACCAGAATTTTCCTTTAAATTAAATGTATTTACCCTTAATTTGAGTAGGTAAATAAGATTAATTGCCAATGGGATGAAGATATTTACTCTTAAAATAAGATAATTAGATAATATGCACTTAAAATAAGACAACAAATTTGTTTTTTCTTATTTTAAATGTGAATTGTCTTATTCCATTGGCAGAGTGTCTCACTTACCCCCTAAATTCAAGAAAAAATGCATTTATTTGAAGAAAAAATGACTTATGTAGATTTTGTTTTTTCCAGTGAGGTTCTGAGTTCAAGCCCCACTCAAATAGAATACCACTCTGGGTCCCTGAGTAAGACCCTTAACCCCCACACTGCTTCGCTGCACAATGGCAACCCACTGCTCCCCAAAGGGGATTGCTTAAATGCAGAGAGTTAATTTTGTTTCTTTGTACTTGTGACAGTGTAATGACAATGAAGTTGAATTCCATTCATTCTTGGGGATTGGTGGCCTAATGGTTAGGCACTTGCACTTGGATCCCAGAGGTTTTGAGTTCAAGCCCCACTCCCATTGACGGCCAATCTGGGTTCCTGAGCAAGTCCCTTAACCCCACACTGCTCCCCTGGGTGCCGCACAATGGTAGCCCACTGCTCCTAGGGGGATTGATTAAATGCAGAGGGTTAATCTTAGCAGCGTACTGACAATAAAATTGAATTCTTCTTCTATTCTTCTAATAAAAAAACTACTATTAATTTGAAACTTGCTTAACTCAGGTCGATGTTTTTAGGTCGGAGTGGTAAAAGGTTATCAAGATTTTGAAAAAGAGATTAAATTGGTTTTCAAGCGAACCCAACAGCCACAGTGACATTTACGTACCCTTCACTTCATCTGTTAAGAGATGCTGTTCTTAACTTTAGTTGAAAAGCAGGCGTTTTAAAAAGGTTGCCAAATATTGACACCCAGTGTAAATTGCCATCAAAAACATAGCTTTTATAAACAGCAATATCCTAGCTCACATAGAAAGTCACTGAAATAGAAATTTCAAATTGAGTACATTTAAAATTTAAATCGTGCAATTTGAAATCCAATTCGAAAATCCTCTTCTAATAGCACATTTTAAATTGAGTTATTAAAAGGAACTGAAAGTTGTATTCATTAATCCATTATTATTTATTGTAATTAAATATTGAAACATATTACCTACCGGTAATCCTATTTCTAAATGGAGATTCATGAATCTGTTTATCAATATCTTTCCTAATCATTCATTTACCAATCTCTGATGTTGCTGCTGTTTTTAAATATCCATTACTGTAAAAATGCCCATAGCTGTATGTTGGTTATTTATGCTGAAGATGCAACATTTTATATTCTTAAAACACTTTACAGTACAGTATTTCATTGTTCATATTTTAGCTATTCATATTATGTTATTCTTATACATTTTTCTCAGGTATTTACTTTACTCTTTACTGCTGTAAACACCAGAATTTCCCCACTGTGGGACAATGCAGGGATTTTCTATTCTATTCTATTTAAAAAGGTTATTCCTCATACTATTTTAATTTTTCTTTTTCAGTTCGCAGTTTTAAATCCTTCTTGAAATTATATTAAAATTTTTCTTTCCCCCACTCCATTTACCCGTGACCCTTCTTTTCCCTCAGCACACTGTAGTTAAGCAAGCAGTCAAACTGTTATTGGTTAGACTGCCAAACTTGGTTAATAAAATGACCAACAAGGAAGCTGGTTAAATCTGAGGAGCAACTACGATTGTTTAACCCTAACTGGTTAATCCTGATTAATCAGTACAAACCAACCAAAGTGGTACATGGATCAAATAGCCACCTAGAATTATGGTTCATAGACTCAGTGTCATGATCGGTTCTCTAATGGAGACCCAAAGATGCAGAACACCACTGACGGACACAGGATGAAAAGTTTAACAAGTTTATTTGCACAATCACACTGAATATGCCGAAGGCTGGTTCGGGCCTGGATTCTGGTTTCACCGGAGTCTGCGTGAGAGACAGCACAGTTAAGGACTGTTGGCGGGGCTTGGTTTTCAAAGATGCACAGATAGTACCTTGAGGGTTCTTGAGGTTCTCTTTGGGAGAGTCACTGTTGGTTCTGGAGAAGGATTGAGTACCAGAGTCCGTTAGCTGCTTCAGCGTCTCACGTCTAGTTTGAGCAGACCTTGGCCTTGGTTTCCCAGCTCTAGCCCAGAGCTGCTTGGAGGTTGTCTGAGAATCTTCAGGGTTTGGCTCTGAGGGTCGGCTCGGCAGGTTAGCTCTTCCAGAGCTTTCACGGAGGAAGCACGAGTTTCCTAGAGGCACAGAAACAGAGGTTAGAGTCCAACTAGGGATTAGAGTCATGGAGATAATCACTGAGATCAAGGCTTTAGCTCTGACCATCTGGAACAACACTGCGGCGTTGAGGCAAGGTCTGAAGACAGCTTATGTAGTGGATCCTCTGATGATCTTGATGAGCTGCACCTGTGCAGGAGGCTCCCTCAGAGGATCCACGGCGGACTCTGCTGGAGAAAGATGGGATTTTCTCCAGCTCCCAACACTCAGAAAATGCTTTGTGTATATAGAGCGCGTAAAACAATGTGTTTTTCTCAGTAAATATACTTTTAGAGGCTCCATTGACATGACATTTTCACAAGATGCCGGTCGGTAACAATCATAAAATCCACACATACAAAGAAATCAAATCATAGATTTCCAGAAATTAGGTTATGTGTAATAATGTGGAATGGCAAATGAAAAAAAGTATTGAACTCGTGAAGAAAGGAAGGCAAAATCTCTCAGTAAATAGAAAGCAGTCCTGCCTCTTGTCAGTGCGAATCAGCTGATTCAGTACCAAATGATGGCCTATAAAAAGGTATCTCTGGTATCACACAAGACTGATGTTTCTCGACTGACTTGACTGACTCAACCACCATGGCTTGTATGCACGCTCCACAAGCAAGACCCTAAAGCTGAGAAAAAAAGCATGTTGCAGCTCATTTAAAGTTTGCTGCACAATATTTAGACAAGCCTGTAAAATACTGGGAGAGTATAGAATGGTCAGATGAGAAAACAATTTTACTCTTTAGATGCCATAATACACATTATGTTTGGAGGTCAAATGGCACTGCACATCA